CATGGTTACAAGCGTGATGTAGAGAGAGCTGGTTGGTGAGGGTGCTCAGAGGAGGACAGCTTGTGGGTCGCCATGCTCGTCGGCGGGAGCGAGGACCGCCAGGCAGTGGCGGAGGAGGTGGTGTTGCGTGCTGCGGCTGTAGCTAGAAGAAGAGAGAGGTCACCACGAGGTCAGGTCTTAAATAGCGGGGGTAGGCGTGGCTTAGTAGTTGACCTCCGTGATGTATGGCGGCGCTGGTTGACCCAGACCACGAGGCATACACTGGGGAATTCGCGGGGTCGGCTACTCAGCGACAAACAGCGTTTGTAGGGGAGAAATCCACTACAGACCCACTACAGTAGGCTATAACCGTGTACTATCCCCACCCTTGCTCCTCTCTCGCTATGTTGGCTGTCCTTGGTCGAGTCGACTTAATGTTTACCGTTGTATGTATATCTGCACTGTCTTACCTTATTTATCTCATGGCCACCCAAACTAGAGGTGGTCATGTCGGGGAAGGACAGTGGCCTGAGTAGGATCCTTCCATTGTTCTTGATAATCTTGTTTAAGGCTATTTGGAAACCCAGTGCTGTTCTTGATTCCACATCTTGAGTTGGTAGACTGCTCCTTAATTAAGTTTGTCCAGCGTGAAATCTTGGCGAGCACATTGTCACCTCGTGTTGGTGACACTGTAGTGGATTCCTCCCCTACAAACGCTGTGTGTTCGCTGAGTAGCCGACCCCGCGAATTCCCTAGTGTATGCCTCGTGGTCTAGGTCAACCAGCTCCGCCTTACATAGCTGAGGTCAACTATTAAGCCACGCCTACCCCCGCTATAAAAGACCTGACCTCGTGGTGACCGCTCTTCTAGCTACAACCGCAGCAAGCAACACCTCCTCCTCCGCCGCTGCCTGGCGGCCCTCGCTCCCGCCGGCGAGCATGGCGACCAACAAGCTGTCCTCCTCTGAGCATCCTCACCAACCAGCTCTGTCCTTCTACCTACACCAACCAGCAAGCAACACCTCCTCCTCCGCCGCTGCCTGGCGGTCCTCGCTCCCGCCGGCGAGCATGGCGACCAACAAGCTGTCCTCCTCTGAGCATCCTCACCAACCAGCTCTGTCCTTCTACCTACACCAACCAGCAAACAACACCTCCTCTCCGCCGCTGCCTGGCGGTCTCGCTCCACACCAACAAGCTGTCCTCCTCTGAGCCCTCACCAACCAGCTCTCTCCTTCTACCTACACCAACCAGCAAGCAACACCTCCTCCTCCGCCGCTGCCTGGCGGTCCTCGCTCCGCCGGCGAGCATGGCGACCAACAAGCTGTCCTCCTCTGAGCATCCTCACCAACCAGCTCTGTCCTTCTACCTACACCAACCAGCAAGCAACACCTCCTCCTCCGCCGCTGCCTGGCGGTCCTCGCTCCCGCCGGCGAGCATGGCGAACAAGCTGTCCTCCTCTGAGCATCCTCACCAACCAGCTCTCTCCTTCTACCTACACCAACCAGCAAGCAACACCTCCTCCTCCGCCGCTGCCTGGCGGTCCTCGCTCCCGCCGGCGAGCATGGCGACCAACAAGCTGTCCTCCTCTGAGCATCCTCACCAACCAGCTCTCTCCTTCTACCTACACCAACCAGCAAGCAACACCTCCTCCTCCTCCGCCGCTGCCTGGCGGTCCTCGATCCCGCCGACGAGCATGGCGACCCACAAGCTGTCCTCCTCTGAGCACCCTCACCAACCAGCTCTCTCTACATCACGCTTGTAACCACGCTGCCACTTCCCAGCACCAAGCTGCATTGTACATCCAATACAACATGTATACAGAGAGCACATTGTGAGTTTCCTTTCTCCATCCCATCCTGAGTGTGAACCCAAACATCCCGTACCCCACAGGTCTATGGACTCCAAAGTCAAGTGTTTTATGTCAATTATAAGCCCGTAACGATACCCTTAATAAAATATATTACTTAAGGTTCAGTTGAAGGGACCATAAGTCACTGGGTTCACAATATAAAAGCAATCCAGAAGACTACGACAACACAATAAAAATAAATCAAAGCGAAAATCAACAATTGGCAAGGCTAATGTGTTAAGTGAACGTTTCCACACACATACACAATACAAACGCAATGCACACACACACACACCACCACAACAAACCCAACTTGGAACAACAAAAAAGTATAAGCCCAAGTTACCTGTTACCGTTACTTTTTACTATTAACTGATACTTGTTACTATTCACTGTTACTTGTTACTGTTCACTGTTTCTTGTTACTGTTCAGCATGCTCAGTACTTGCGGCTAACGAACCGATCAGTGGTGAAGAGGCTAAAAGTAAAAAGACTGTTACTTGTTACTGTTCAATATTTCTTGTTACTGTTCACGGTTACTTGTTATTGTTCATTGTTACTGTTCACTGTTACTTGTTACTGATACTTGTTACTGTTACTATTCACCGTTACCGTTAATTGTTACTGTTCAATTTTACTTGTTACTGTCCACTGTTACTTGTCACTGTTCACTGATACTTTTTACTGTTCACTGACACTTGTTACTATTCACTGATACGTGTTACTATTCACTGACACGTGTTACTATTCACTGATACGTGTTACTATTCACTGATACTTGTTACTGTTCACAGATAAAGTTACTGTTCACTGATACTTGTTACTGTTCACAGATAATGTTACTATTCACTGATACGTGTTACTATTCACTGATACTTGTTACTGTTCACAGATAAAGTTACTGTTCACTGATACGTGTTACTATTCACTGATACTTGTTACTATTCACTGATACGTGCTACTGTTCTCTGATACTTGTTACTATTCACTGATACTTGTTACTGTTCACTGATACTTGTTACTGTTCACTGATACTTGTTACTGTTCACTGATACGTGTTACTATCCACTGATACGTGTTACTATCCACTGATACATGATACTATTCACTGATGCGTGATACTATTCACTGATACGTGATACTGTTCACAGATAATGTTACTATTCACTGATACGCGTTACTATTCACTGATACTTGTTACTATTCACTGATACGTGTTACTGTTCACTGATACTTGTTACTGTTCACTGATACGTGTTACTATTCACTGATACGTGATACTATTCACTGATACGTGATACTATTCACTGATACGTGATACTATTCACTGATACGTGATACTATTCACTGATACTTGTTACTGTTCACAGATAAAGTTACTGTTCACTGATACGTGTTACTATTCACTGATACTTGTTACTATTCACTGATACTTGTTACTGTTCACAGATAAAGTTACTGTTCACTGATACTTGTTACTATTCACTGATACTTGTTACTATTCACTGATACTTGTTACTGTTCACAGATAAAGTTACTGTTCACTGATACTTGTTACTATTCACTGATACGTGTTACTGTTCTCTGATACGTGTTACTATTCACTGATACGTGTTACTATTCACTGATACGTGACACTATTCACTGATACTTGTTACTGTTCACAGATAAAGTTACTGTTCACTGATACTTGTTACTATTCACTGATACTTGTTACTGTTCACAGATAAAGTTACTGTTCACTGATACGTGTTACTATTTAGTGATACTTATTGCTATTCACTTGTTACTAAAATATCCGTTATCACAAATTTTATGTTGAGAAATCTAATTTGCCGTTAATTTGGGAAAGGTTTTTATCACATCAGAGAGGAAATCCTTTTGGAAGATAAATTAAAAGTTAAATATACATAAAAATATGAAATGACATAATAATTAGTCAGAGAATATATATATATATATATATATATATATATATATATATATATATATATATATATATATATATATATATATAAGTAAAATGACGAAATAATGATAATTACGATTACTTAAAGAGTAAGGAGACAAATACCATGAAGAGGAAATGATTAAAAATAAATCATAGAGCAGGAGACTTATAACTTCGTACTGTAAAAAAAAACGACAAATAAAACCCAACAAATGTATAGATAGCGCCATTATGAAATAAACCACATTATCTAGGAAAGTTGTGTTAGAGCACGTTAGATTAGGGCAAGTTTGGTCAGAATAGGTTAGGATAGAGCCAGTTAGGATGGAATGGGGCACGTCAGGTAAAGTTAGGATAAACCCATTTAGGTTACAGGTTAGAATACGGCAAGTTAGGTTAGGATTGATCGAGTTGGGATAGCAAGTTAGGTTAAGTTAAGATAGAGCCAGTCAGGTTAAGTTAAGATAGAGCCAGTCAGGTTAAGTTAAGATAGGGCCAGTCAGGTTAAGTTAAGATAGAGCCAGTCAGGTTAAGTTAAGATAGGGCCAGTCAGGTTAAGTTAAGATAGAGCCAGTCAGGTTAAGTTAAGATAGAGCCAGTCAGGTTAAGTTAAGATAGAGCCAGTCAGGTTAAGTTAAGATAGAGCCAGTCAGGTTAAGTTAGATTGACTGGCTGTTTACATCCGGGATACCACAACACCGCCGAGAATAACAAAGTACTGTACAGTAGTGTGCGCCTCGGCTCCTAATTATCTAGCGAACTAAGTATTTGTACAAGAAATGATTACAATACCAGAACTCATTGATGAAAATATAGTAAGAAAATGAACATCAAAACAAATAACACGTCGGCGGGTTATTTATATACTTGAACTGTCTGGTACAGTCACCAACAAAAGTCCTGTCGCTTCTCCTCCTGAACCACAAGATTCAAATCATTAACTCGAAGCATTTGTGGACAGAATAACGCATCAGTGTCTATTGCTTCGGGTTCAGGAGTCTGAATCTTGGGGTTCTTGGTTCAAGAGGAAAGGCGACAGGATTAAAGTGGGTGACTGTATACGTACATCGTTTGAATAACTGCACAGTCTGTGTATATTCTCCACTTGCATTGCTTATATACATCCTAATTTATCAATGGATACTTGTATCGTGATTTATACCGAATTAATTAGCTATCTTAATAATTACGTCACGTAAGGAAAAGATAAAGCAAGTCTTACCTTTACTAATTTTGTACGTCAACAACTGGGATGGATTTGTAACACTGGTTCAGTACAAGGATGTCATGCACCACGTCCCGGTCCGTCAGTAACTTGTGTACCACGTCCCGGTAGAATACTAAGTGTTGCTCTCTACCACGTCCCGGTCCGTCTGACTGTTTGTACCACGTCCCGGACCTCACTCACTGGTAGTTGGTACATGTGAACTCGGTGCGTCTGGCAGCGAGGCGAGGCGTGGCGCCGCTGTGATAGGTAGACACTGTCAGGTCAGTCACGGAGACTCTTACGGTAAATAATTCTCTTAAGTGGAAATATAATGTGTCTGACTTTAAGCTAAAATATAAAATAACTTCCAGGAAATAAAGTCAAAATTAAAGTGCACTAATACTACCTTAACTCTTTATATATTTATCTATAATGATTTAGCAATTGTTAAGATATAAATTTGAGTTATTAGAACTTTTCTATAAGATTATCTACTTTATATTATGTCTTAATAAAATATTATATGAACGGAGCTAGTTAAGAAAATATCAAAGTAATTCTGATGTTTTTGTTGTATTTTTCTCTTACGTCACGAACCTCTGCTCTGCTGTACAACACTTTTTCCTCGACCTTATGAGTAAAACAGAGATGTTCATTGTCAATGTCGGGAGCGAATATTATTAAACCCATTTAGATTCTTAACAGCGTCTACCATAAAAATGAAAAACGTAAAATTCCTTTGATGGAAAATCTGGAAGTTAAAATTAATGCGTAGAATATGGCAAAGACACTTAATGTTAATTAAGGAAAGCTAACACAGCCAAGGACAAGATGGTAAAATGAACCCGAAACAATGTGTAATTAATAAAGAAACTGGCTGTTAAGAAAACTATTTAACCTGAACGAATTATTATGACACCTCCCAAACAGAAAACTCTCCACATTCTCTACATTATATTTCGTTCACAGTCAATATTTTTTTATTATACATTATCTTCATATTTGTTAACAAATTGTCTTAAATCAAACAGTAATAACTTAACTATTTGTTGACTTCGAGACACTTCATATATTCCGTTTATATGCGTACATTCTAAATCAATGTAAACTTGTATGACGACTTTACTGACTGTATCAATCTATCTATCTATCTACAGTTATGTGATTTTCGTTATGGAGAAATTAACAAACACGTATTATTCACACAATAACGTATTATTTTATTTCTAAACCTTTTTTCTTGAACGAAAATCATTTCAATTACCAGAGCAGATAAAAAACTCCAATTTTGTTATGCAAAGCTTGACAGGAAGAACGAAAAAAAATTTGTTCGTTAAGAAATGATCAAATATAATAATAATAATAATAATAATAATAATAATAATAATAATAATAACGTACTAGCTCAAATCACCATTAATATCAATAGTATTATAAAGATTGTTGTGTTAATAGGACCAAGAATGACTATAGTGAAGAGTTGACACTGACAGTTACCAAACAAAGTGTAGGGGCCTTTGTGTGGTGAACTGACTGAGTGACTGGTAACTGAGTGGGAGAGTTGACCGTTCATTATCTTTCGGTCAACCAACACACACACACTCCCTTCTCTCAGTTTGTTTGTTTCTCGTATTGGTGATGGTGAGTTGTGGTGGTAATGGTGAGTGTTGCTGGTGAGTTGTGGTGGTAATGGTGAGTGTTGCTGGTGAGTTGTGGTGGTAATGGTGAGTGTTGCTGGTGAGTTGTGGAGGTAATGGTGAGTGTTGCTGGTGAGTTGTGGAGGTAATGGTGAGTGTTGCTGGTGAGTTGTGGTGGTAATGGTGAGTGTTGCTGGTGAGTTGTGGTGGTAATGGTGAGTGTTGCTGGTGAGTTGTGGAGGTAATGGTGAGTGTTGCTGGTGAGTTGTGGTGGTAATGGTGAGTGTTGCTGGTGAGTTGTGGTGGTAATGGTGAGTGTTGCTGGTGAGTTGTGGTGGTAATGGTGAGTGTTGCTGGTGAGTTGTGGTGGTAATGGTGAGTGTTGCTGGTGAGTTGTGGTGGTAATGGTGAGTGTTGCTGGTGAGTTGTGGTAGTATAAAGTTATATTAAGTTAAGGTTATACTGTATTATGTTAACGTTATGTTCCGTAAAATGTTAAATTGGGGTTAGGTTAACTTTATATTCTGTTAATGTTATAGTCAATTAAATGTGAACGTAAAGGTATGTTAAGGTAAAGTTAGGTTAAGGTTATGCAAGGTTAATATTATATTATATTAGGTTAGAGTTAGTTATGTTAGCTTGTCATTACTTTAAAACAATATAAGGCGTGGACTAGTGCATAAGTTTTTCATCACGTTTCTGGAATCGAAGTTTAATGAAACGTTATTACAATGAAACTTCTGTCAGATGGAAAAACATGTGTTAATGCTAACGATAAAGTGTTAGACGGGTCGACAGCAGTGTACACAAGAGGATTAGGTGACATATCAGATGCAAGTAATTATAGCTCTATATTGACCAAACAACTATAGTCATTCGGTGTCAAATTGTCAACAGTACTTGTTACGTTTTAAATGCAGGAAAGTGGCTTTCTTACTGTACAACTCGGATACCTTCACACTGGTTACTCACCCAGGAGATTATGGTGTATCACTACGTAGAATTTTGCTCTGCTTCCGGCATTCAATGCGTTATGTACTTGATAAATGATGATTTAATGAATTCCACTAACTTCCAACATCCATCTAAGTTATTGGTTATACTTTGTCATAACCAATCAGTCATTACCCTTGGTAATAATGATAATAGAGGGATCACAGATACGGGCAGATGATTGCACTTACGTTTATTTGGCACAATTCCATACACTGGACTTATAATTTGCATGGATAGGTCAGTCACTCACATTCACGCCACAGTACCGTAAGTTATAAGGGAGAGTTTGTCAACCTGGTGAATTAATCGTTTAGATCTATTAGGCCGGCCTGGAGTGCTCTTGTAGCAAACAGGCCCTCACCATTGATCACTTCCTTTACAGGATGTGTTAACTTGTCGCTGGACTTAACAAAAAAATCTCGGGGATTTGCACACACAGACCCGTAGCACTGGTAGGACTGTATGGCCCCTGATCTTAAGTCCGCGGAGCAGGAGGTCTTCTCTAGCCCAAGGTCTAAAGCCCACTGGCTAAATTGGTTTTTTTGAGGCGTGAAGTGATGAACAGTACACCACTGTCTCACTGGCCTGCCCCCCCCCCCCTACATGTCCCAGTCATGGCTGGCCGGTTACCTTATCTCTACCGTAAACAAACATTTGGGATGGGTTGTGCGGGAGGCCCAACGCAACCCATGACAGTACTGTCCTAGGAGATTGAATCATCGTCCTCAAAGGGTTAAATAAACCATAGTTGTCAAAGGGTTAAATAAACCATAGTTGTCAAAGGGTTAAATAAACCATAGTGTCAAAGGGTTAAATAAACCATAGTTGTCAAAGGGTTAAATAAACCATAGTTGTCAAAGGGTTAAATAAACCATAGTTGTCAAAGGGTTAAATAAACCATAGTGTCAAAGGGTTAAATAAACCATAGTGTCAAAGGGTTAAATAAACCATAGTGTCAAAGGGTTAAATAAACCATAGTTGTCAAAGGGTTAAATAAACCATAGTTGTCAAAGGGTTAAATAAACCATAGTGTAAAGGGTTAAACAAAGTGTCAAGGTTAAATAAACCATAGTTGTCAAAAGGGTTAAATAAACCATTTATCAAGGTTAAATAAACCATAGTGTCAAAGTTAAATAAACCATAATTTGTCAAAGGGTTAAATAAACCATAGTTGTCAAAGGTTAAATAAATAAACCATAGTTGTCAAGGGTTAAATAAACCATAGTGTCAAAGGTTAAATAAACCATAGTTGTCAAGGGTTAAATAAACCATAGTTGTCAAGGGTTAAATAAACCATAGTTGTCAAAGGGTTAAATAAACCATAGTTGTCAAAGGGTTAAATAAACCATAGTGTCAAAGGGTTAAATAAACCATAGTTGTCAAAGGGTTAAATAAACCATAGTTGTCAAAGGGTTAAATAAACCATAGTTGTCAAAGGGTTAAATAAACCAAACAAAGGGTTAAATAAACCATAGTTGTCAAAGGGTTAAATAAACCATAGTTGTCAAAGGGTTAAATAAACCATAGTGTCAAAGGGTTAAATAAACCATAGTTGTCAAAGGGTTAAATAAACCATAGTGTCAAAGGGTTAAATAAACCATAGTTGTCAAAGGGTTAAATAAACCATAGTTGTCAAAGGGTTAAATAAACCATAGTGTCAAAGGGTTAAATAAACCATAGTTGTCAGGGTTAAATAAACCATAGTTGTCAAAGGTTAAATAAACCATAGTTGTCAAAGGGTTAAATAAACCATAGTTGTCAAAGGGTTAAATAAACCATAGTGTCAAAGGGTTAAATAAACCATAGTGTCAAAGGGTTAAATAAACCATAGTGTCAAAGGGTTAAATAAACCATAGTGTCAAAGGGTTAAATAAACCATAGTGTCAAAGGGTTAAATAAACCATAGTTCTCTAATGTTTTAAGATGTCTATCTTTTCCCATGAAAAAAAATCCGGCCAACCAAATTTCCTCCAAATAGTTGCCAGAGAGAGAGAGAGAGAGAGAGAGAGAGAGAGAGAGAGAGAGTCTTGGTAAAGTACAGCAGGTGTATATGCAAACACTTGTGGTACAGCTGTGTACAACTAAACTATGTTGCCACCTAACCATCTATTTATACCATATTTATACCATTAAATTACCTATATATAGATATATATATATTTTGACTTTAATGTCACCAAATAATTACATAGTAATATTAAATAAAATTATTTATAATTTATATAAAACGAGAGTGAAGACATGTTAGCAGTTAATAATTAAAGTGGATCACGCTGGTAGTGCAATAGTTAGGCTGTGACAGTTGGAGGTATTTGGTGTTTAGTATAGTGTTGGTGGTGGTGGTGCTAAGGTGGTGCTGTTAGTGGTGGTGTTGAGGATAGTAGTGATGGAGATTGTAGTCGTGGTGATGATGGTAGTGGTAATGCTGATGATGAAGGAAGTGGTGATGATGAAGGTAGTAGAGGTGGTGGTGACGACGACGAAGAAAATGGTGGTAACGATGGAAGTGGTGATGATAGTAAAGGCGGCGTCACACTGGCATTCTTTCGTCAACTTTTTTCGTCAACTTTCAGGAAATCGTTAAACTTTGTTGTGCACCGTCACACAAGCGTTTAGAACCAACTCGCCAGTTTCCCTCGACAACTGCCAACAAAGAAGATGGATCCAACTGACGAAGAAAACGCAGCAATTCTACGCCTTCTTTTGTGTGTATGAAGAGTCCTGGTGATCCCAGAGTCAGCGGCGTTGCCTTATCTGGTCCACCAAGAACTCCTCAGAGAGGCGTGTCCATACTTGGGAAATTATGTTATCTGTTGGCTCCGACATGTTGTTGTTATTCTCGCATGGTCAAAATGTAAACAACAATTGACATTTTCTTGCAATTTTAAAATTACGAAATTAAACTTAATGGATAATCAAGGGAAGAAGAGTAATAATTAATATATAACAATTTTATCTTTATATTTTAAGTAGAAATTAGTTTATTTTTATAACTATTTGTAGTATCAATTATAGATCTTGAGTTGACTCTGGTAAGTTGTCAAAGTTGACGGAAGACTTGCCAGTGAAGCCAAACACCGACGATTCTAAGTTGACAGTAATGAAAAAGTTGACAGTAAAAATGCTAGTGTGACGCCGCCTTAAGGGATATATCTGTATAGGAAGAATTGGCATAACTAAATAATAAAGGTCGATTCCCTGGCTGGTAACACTACTTATATGACCATTATTTATGAGTATATATACAAAATACTAATATATCACATTTTATCACAACTAATATATTATTACTAGCCTATAGAATGAATCACCCTGTACTGTAGTTTACGTTTTATGAGAATTAATATAATACCTTGTTAATAATCTAACTCGGGTCTAAATCTACGTAATTATTTCATTCATTTATTTATTTGCATTTTTAAGGTTTCTAGAAATGAAGTTTGTATTATAGAGCAACAGGCGGTGTATAAATTTGAGAACACTAGGTAAATTAATATGTATTGATGTACAAGGGGGAAAAGCTACAAAAAGTTCCTTATGAAGATATTTGAGAACCTACGAGGCGCCATACTTGGAGATGCCGCCAAACAGGAACGTCACCCAATCAGGACTCCAATAAGACCTAGGGAACTTCAATCATCAGTCACTGCCGCCGGAGATAACCAATTACAGAACGGGAATGACATAGAACTAACGACCAATTACAACACTATGCAAGAGGTGCCGAGGTGAGTTGTGTCCACCTGTAGGAAGGCGGGTGTGACTCACTGCAAGTCTTTGTCTTTTCTGCCAATAACAAAATGGCTTCAGGAAAATGTTGCCTTAAAATGTTGCCTTAGAATATGGATCAATATTTGTAATTAAGAAAATGCTTTTACTGATTGTATAATATGGACACGAAGTGCCTGTAGTACCTTAAGCTGTGTATTCTTATATTACGCTATTAATTATGTATAGTAAAGTATTACAGAACATGTATTAGTCCTATGTAATATTTCCATTTATTATGCACCATGTTATGTATGTGAATTATCATATTTACATATTATGTATTCAGCTTGTGAATGATGGCATCTGTACATGCCAGCGTGGAGTGATACAGAGAGTTGAGATCACTAGTCCTTATGGTGTGGAAGCCAGTATCTTTGTTCCTCTGTATTTATCTCCCGTACGAGAATAAGAACCTATTTTCAAGATAACAAGTGTTTGCGTATACCCTCCGTAGTGTAGAACATTTTGGGGGCATCAAAGACAAACAGACTGATAGACGATCCATATACAAAATAGAGTAACAATAAAATTCTTTGCAACAAAGTTGGCGGCCAGCCACCCGACGAACCAACACTTCTTTACAATTTGATCTCTCGTATTTGTGATATTTTAAGGGACGATAACTTTTATACAGTGGTCTTCTATAATTTCCGCACTTGGGGTAGTAAAAATTAGCGTGTGAAACGTACTGGTAATAAAAAAAATCGTAAAAAGAACTCAAACATGAACAAATTCTGCGACGCACATGCAGTGGAGTTGGAGGATGCTGCCAAAATGTTGTAATTATCTTGTTCTCGTCAAGTTATTTAAGTTACCAGAGTTTCACATGCTAATTTTTGCTCCCCCAAGCATAGAAGCTATCAGAGATCAACAAAGAAAAGTTATTATCCCTTAAAATATCATAATTTAAATGCTGGCCCTAGGCCTCGGGTGCAAGGTCCCAGTGGACAGACAATACAATAGTAAGTTAAATTAGACCGACTTTGTGATCTTGTTATACAATTTTAATGCAATTATTAGTGACGACATTGCAATTTAGTACATATTATGGTGAGAATATAACAGTTCAGTACATTGAGTAAGAATATTAGTTTTAATTTATATTTTAGTGGTAAAGGTAGTATACATATTCTAATAAGAACAGTACATGCATTAGTGAAAACAGTATATTATAGTACAGTGTTACATATCTTAGTGAAATCATAGCAGTTAAGTATGTTTCAGTGACAATAGTAGAATTAATAGTTACATATTTTAGTAAGAACTTTACATTTTAGTATAGTACGCATCTCCGTGAAGACAACAGTTTAGTACATGCAGTATTCTAGTAGGGACTAATACAGTAATAATAGCACATTTTAGTACATATTTGAGTGAGAAGAGAACATTTTAACACCAAGTTTCTTTATAAAACTCATCGTATATGCTTTTTTTTAAACATCTTTAAGAAGCTGATGATGTCGTTAGGTTAGGTCAGGTGCCGTTAGGTTAGGTTGGAAAAGTCAAGGTTTTATTGTGCTGGCTGGCATTAGTTTGTAATAAGCATGTTTACCTTCGGCCACCAGCTTCACCATTAGTAAGCTGATGATGATGTTCTCAGACCGACGGCAGCAGTACAGGACGCTGAAGGAGGCTATGTGGGCCCTGCCGCCGAGTCCCGGGAGGCAAGAGGAAGACCACCGTCCCTGTCCAAGTACACCACCAGGGGTCCACAGGACGGCTGGTTTGTATTGCTGGCTACTATTATAACATGAGTAACACATCTTTTTTTCTGGGTAATAGAACATAAATTTGTTTTAAATTCTTCGAAATTAATAAAATTCCAAACACATCCACACGAGATCCAATTATAGTGGACCCAGACATTGTTTTGGCCTCCCGTTAATATTTAAATTTCTATATATAATGTTTATTCTAAGAGTAATGTAGTTTGGTGAGAGATGAAGCCTTTAGTGTAACATTGTTTAGTTGTGTAAATCATTAAAGAATTACGATTGTTATGCCATAACATAGCAACTTAAATTATGTTAAAGTTGAACATAATAATGAGGGCACATATGGCACAACAACAAAAATAAATTGACAAATCAGTCCTTAATATTTATCACTTAAAATTAATGTTATTTCAATATATGACAAACAATGTTAAATGCAAAAGTTACGCACACAAATAAGGACGAAATTGTACGTCGTGGGTTCAATCACAGCCCTCTTTATTAAGACAGTTCAGGAGTGAAGGTTTGGAATTATACACATCACAAAAAATTTAAATAAAATTTAATTACAAAAGTTTGCAATAATAAATGTGCACGTTAACTAGTGGATGGATAAATTATTTCAAAAGACTAAGTAATATAGAGGATTATGGGACTTTGGAAGTTTTTAGCATTGAGCAAACCATCGTGGGAAATGACTCCTTACAAAGTTAAACTGTACTTGGTTTTCCATCCTCAATAAACAATTAATATATACACCATACGTAAATAATTGATTGCACTATATACACAATACATAATAACAGAGCAGCACTAAATATATAATACTTAACTAAGCCTTATTAGAAAAGGTGTCCACCACTGACTGACCCAGACGTCCTGTCAGCACCAATACCCAGCCGTGACTACCCAAACACACTGGTGCACCGGTGAATTCCAAGCCTAAACATCACTAATATAAAACAAGTACTACATTAAGCTGCAAAAATAGTTAAAACATACATACATTCTAGGGCACAATTGTAGGTATCAATTACCAGTTTTACTCACAAATAATTATACAATATTTAACATACAGTCCACCATGGCACGTAGTCATCCCGACACTAACACCACCACCACACGTAAGGGGAGGGTAATGCATAACGTAATGCATTACTGTGCATTACGTTATGCATAACACGATTTTGAAGTAGAGTGAATTTCAAGTATTTTATTAAGATACGTGATTCAGTTAATGCTGAAAAATTCAGCTAGTCTACTCATTCAGTTCCACTGATATACTTAATGTTTTATATTTTTTTTTGGGGGGGGGGTGTTTTTGTTAATATATAGGACTAACCCATGAGCGAGTTATTTTTATTACTGTTTATTTTCTCACAATATTTTCATCAGTGAGTTCTGATATGACAATCAATTATTGTGTAGGGGGCGCCGGTGGGTAGAGCGGTACCGCTCTTGCCTCGCAAGTGAGGATGTCACGGGTTCGATTCCCGGGCCGGTGGAAAGTTGTTCGGACACACTTGCCAGCCTCCCTCGGTCCCTGTTCACCTAGCAGCAAATAGGTACCTGTTGTAAGTCGAAAGTTGCAAATTCGTAATCAAGGAAAGTTGTTGGAGCTTCCAATAACTTGCTTAGACATAAACCATTGACTCTTCAGGCTTCTACGCCCTTGACTCTTCAGGCTTCTACGCCCTTAACTCATGAGACATAAAGGCAAGCATGAACTTAGCATGCTTCCCTGTTCGGCGCTGTAAACGCTTCTGCGCTTCACCTTACACAAGGATGTAGGGGGTGCCAAAAAAAAAAAAATTATTGTGGAACCCTCCAACACAGTAAATCACTCGGCCGCTAGGGGTGCATAAGCGCCAATGTGGCCGTATCATCTTGAAAAAAGTACATAAACTATATGAGGCTTTTCATTTATGTTATTTCTCGCAGGTGGTGGCAGCGTGGTGGCGTTAGTTGTACAACAGGAGAGCAGACATTGGTGTTCCTGAGCGGCTGTCTGCTGGTACTGTTGCTGTTTCTGCTGGTGACTGTCTTCTTCGTGTCCTCAGGTAGCTTGTGGTGTGGTAGTGTGTGTTGGTGATGTGCGTGTTAATAATAAGCATTTCTGAGAGCTGGTGGCATACCACTGAGTGTGAGTGTGTGTGTTTACTGTTTCAACATGTGCCTCTATCCCACAGGTGTGTGGAGGAGGAGGATCAGCACCTGTACCAGCCGTGAGTGTGTCAAGACAGGTGAGTCTAAACACACGAAACCCACCATGATATGTAACCCACCATGATATGTGACCCACCATGATATGTAACCCACCATGATATGTGTCCCACCATGATAAGTAACCCACCATGATATGTGACCCACCATGATATGTAACCCACCATGATATGTAACCCACCATGATATCTGACCTGACCTTGGCTTCACCTTCAGCGGGGGAGGTCCTCAGGTCACTTAACGAAGAGGTGTCACCGTGTGAGAACTTTGTGGACTTCGTGTGTGGAGGCTGGCTGCGTCAACACCCTATACCCGAGGGTAAACACCGTTGGGGAGTGTTTGATGTCCTCGACCAACAAACACTCGTGGACCTCAGAGGTGAGTTACTATTGGCTGAGGACCAGTAACGTCATTTATGTACTTAGTTACTGAAATATAGATATAAGTATATTGATCTACTTATAAGATACACTTAAAGACCTTATTAGTTGAAGCACAAATAAACAGTATGTCTCATAAAATGTATACACACTGCCTTACACATCTTCCTGCAGAATGTTTACATGCTTGCATTACAACACCAACATTGTCCTTACCTGTTGGTAACCTCACACATCAACAGATAAATGACAATGTTGCTGTTGTAATACAAGCATTTAAACATTCTACAGGAAGATGTGTAAGGCAATGTATATACATTTTTGTGAGACCCGGTGTACACGCTAGCAAGGGATGGTACCTGACGCCAGTAGATAAGGATAAAGGGCTAGTGCATGTTATTGGGTTGGAGGGTCGAGGTTTGGGTTGGACGGTACAGTGGTTGACTCTCTCAGGGCAGCTGGAGAAAGAGCCCCTCGTCCACGACCCCGTCACCATCAGGACGGCCAAGACGGTGTACCAGGCGTGTGTCAATGACAGTAAGTCTTTTGTTGTGACCAGTGTGTGTGTTTGTGTGTGTGTGTGTGTGTGTGTGTGTGTGTGTGTGTGTGTGTGTGTGTGTGTGTGTGTGTGTGTGTGTGTCTTCAGGACCCAATATTAGTGTCATGTCAACTTGCAATACTTGGGCTAAAATATGTAGAAAAATTTAATTTTGTTAATGAGAAATATTTACGTCCTATCTTCACCATCTATCCCTGACCATCTCCCTCAGTATCTCTACCACCATTTCCCTCCTTCATTATCTCCCTCAATATATTTACCATCACCATCTCCCTCCCTCACCATCTCCCTCAATGTCTTCACCACCACCTCCCTCCCCTTATCATCTCCCTCACCACCACCATCTTCACCACCAGCACAATGGGACACGGTAGGTCTGAGGCCCCTGCTAGACCTGGTAGTGAAGGAGGGAGGCCTGCCTATGGTGGACCCTTCATGGACAGGTGACCACTACCAGGTGATGACCAGTCTGGCCAGACTGAGAAACACCCTGGCAGGAGAATACCTCATCAGTCTCATCGTCAAGCCTGACAGTCGCAACACCTCCAAACCTGTTATATACGTGAGTTTTCACAGTCATGTTTATGTGTCACTAGCTGTCATATATCATGTGTCATTAGGGGTCATGTGTTATAAATGTCATATATTCTGACCTGTTCACTATACATAAAGACCATCAACTGTTGTAATAGCGTCTCAGACAGGCTTGCAATTATGCCTCATAAACTGACATTTTAAAGAACAACGTTAAAATTTTACCAAAATAGTATTTTTTTATTATTGACTTACAATATTTATACTGTGTTAAGATACTTTCTCTCTCTCTCTCCCCACCTACTCCCTCCTCCACAATCTTTCTCCTTCGTTCCTTCCATCATTCATTCCCACAACTTCGACCATCTCCCTTCCTCCCTTCCTCCACCAACTCTCTCTCTCCCTTCACCATCTCCCTCCTTCCCTCCCTCCCTCCACTAATTCCCTTTCTCCCCCCTCCACCAACTTTTCCCTCCCTCCACCAACTCTCTCTCCACCATTTCCCCTCCCCCCACGAACTCACAGATAGGAGAGGGGATGCTTCCGGTCCAGCGAGTCTTCCTCACCCCTCAGGTCTCCACCAGTCACAAGGAAGCACAGATCACCTACATGAGGGAGACTGGAAAGGAACTACTGAAGGAGCTGCGGCAGGAGAGAAACAACACCTTCATCTACACGCTGTACAGGGACATTGACGACCTATGGGACTTCTACGTCAGGGTGGCCGAGGTGAGAGAGGGCGAGGGGAGGGAGGGAGACTGAGTGAGAGAGAGAGAGAGAGAGAGAGAGAGATGACCCACTAACTGATCACCATCTACAGATCACCACACCAAAGGCCCCGGAAGAGAACCCTTGGGACACTTACCACCCCATGACGGTATATGAACTACAGAACTTCACCGACTCCGTCAACGCCTCCTTCAGGGTAAGACTCACTCGACAGGCTTCACCGACACTTTCGACTCCTCCTCTTTCTTCTCTTCTTCCTCCTCATCTCCCCCCCCCCTACGCTTCCTTCTTCAGATAGATAGTTCAAACACTTTAAAGACCTCCTCTATCTCTTCCTCCTCTTTTTTATCCCTTCCTCCCCCTATTCCTCATCCTCCTACTCCTCCTCCTCTTTCTCTCCCTCCTCCTCCACTTTCTTCTTCAGGTAGATAGTCCAAGCACTTTAAAGATCTTCCTCCTCCCCCTACAGATAAATTGGCTGGGGTACCTGAATCAAGTGTTTGAAGGCACTACCATCACTATCACCTGGGAGGACCGGGTGATTGTCGAGTATCCCAAGTACCTCATCCAGCTACTGCTACTTCTTCAGGATACTCCTAAGAGAACTATTGGTAAAGAAAGTCCTATCCTAACCTAACCTAACCAACAGACCCCAGGAGCGCGATAATTTTTTGTTGTTGACTGTACCACACTCCACGGCTTCACTACAGTGCACCGTTTATTATTTTTATTTGATATTTTTGTGTTCAAGCTTACGTTTTCTTTTGACTTCTGTGCACTGTTATTCTTTTTTTTTATTTCTGCTGTGTGTATGTGTGCACTCTCGCCCTTTTCTTTGATTTCTGTGCACTCTTTTGAGCCCTCTGCCTGTGCATGGCAGCTCCTGTCGAGAGTTACTGCCACTCTTTATCATCCATGAATCTATCTAGCCTCCTTTTAAAACTTCCCATCGTTCCAGCACTTACTACAAATTTGCGAAGCTTGTTCCACTCGTCCACCACCCTATTTGTGAACCAGTTCCTTCCTATCTCCCTCCTAAACTTAAACTTATCCAACTTAAATCCGTTGCTCCGAGTCCTATCCTGCTCGGATATTATAAGAACTTTATCTATATCTCCTTTATTGATTTCTTTCACCCACTTAAATACTTCTATCATATCTCCCCGCACTCTTCGTCTTTCTAGGGAATGCAAGTTTAGTTTCTTTAACCTATCTTGATATGGAAGGTTTCTAAGTCCCGGAAGTCAGGGCTAAACAAAGGTGATATAACAAAGGTACTCAAACTATCCAACTAATACGAATTCTTAACAATAGTTTTAAATTAGACAAATTTATATAGGTTTAGGCGCGAGATAGGTAAACATTGGTTTGGAAATAGAGTAGTCGACGAGTGGAACAAGTTACCAAATATCATCACTAACTCGAATACGCTGGATAGCTTCAAACACAGGTTGGGTGGATATATGAGCCATAGGGGTTGGGTGTAAACGGGACGGCCCAGTATGACCCGCTGCAGTTTACTACAGTCTTATGTTCTTACTGACCTTTGAAAAGTCACTGACCTATGATGTCTTTTGACATGTTAACGAATATGTCTTGTGATCTATAAACTGCTATCTTACTTATGTGTTGTCCCCTGGTTGACCTTTGACACTTAGAGAAATTACTGACCTGTATATTGATATCTTAACTTAACCTAACTTATCCTAACCTAACCTAACTTACCCAAACATAACCGAACTTAACCTAACTTAACCAACATAATCTAACTTAACTTAACATAACTTAACTTAATCAAACATAACCAAACATAACCTAACTTAACCTAACTTATCCTCAGCCAACTATCTGCTGTTCCCTGTGGTAGTGGAGATGGGGGAGGAGACTAACGTACGGTACCTCACACGTCCTCACCACGCCCTCCCACGCCTGCAGTCCACCTGGTCACTTGGGAGAGCTAAGTCGTGGCCGTAAGTACAGTACAGTATAATATCACCAAAAAGAACATTACCCAGTTTTTAAAAGATTATAAAACCATTAAATAATTTATTTACGCTTTTCTTTAAAATGTAAAAAAATTATATCATTTTTTTAAGAGTGTAATCTATGTTAACTCTTGGTGTTCCACAGATGGCATGACTGTACACAGAAGACAAGGATGCTGCTGCCTCTGGGTGTGGCCAGTGTATATGTTAGACACATATACAAACAACAGCTGGGAGATATGGTCAGTATTTACCAAACCAGAGGTCACCTTGCCACGTCTTATGACATCTGACCTCATTAGATTAAAGAAATCATAAGAACATAAATATGGAGGAAACTGCAGCGGGCCTATTAGCCCATAGTGGGCAGTTCTATTTACACCCAACCCCTATTGCTCATATTTCCATCCAACCTTTGCTTGCAGCTATCCAGCGTATTCTAGTTAATGATGATATTTGGTAACTTGTTCCACTCATCCACTACTCTATTTCCAAACCAATGTTTACCTATCTCGAGCCTAAATCTAAATTTGTCTAATTTAAAACCATTGTTACGAGTTCGCTCCTGGTTGGATAGTTTGAGTACCTTTGTTATATCACCTTTATTTACCCCTGACTTCCATTTATACACCTCTATCATATCGCCCCTCACTCTACGTCTCTCGAGGGAGTGCAAATTAAGATGCTTTAACCTGTCCCTGTACTCAAGGTTCCTAATGCCCGGGATTAGTCTTGTCATTCCCCTCTGAATTCTTTCCAAGGATTCTATATCCATTCTGTAATACGGTGACCAGAACTGAACTGCGTAATCCAAGTAAGGTCTCACAAGCGCAAGATATAGTTTTAGGATAACCTCTCTAGTCTTGTAACTAACACTCCTTTGTATGAACCCAAGTACTTTATTAGCCTTGTTTCGAACAAATACACATTGTTTACTTGGCTTAAGATTCCTACTTATCATTACTCCTAAATCTTTCTCACATTCGGATTTCTCTATATCGTCGTTGTTCATCTGATATCTGGTTTCTCTGTTTACATCTCCTAGACTAAGTACTTTACATTTGTCCACATTGAATTTCATCTGTCATTTTTCAAACCATTCGAAAAATTTGTTTAGATCTTCCTTTTTGTGGAGTCCTCGTCATATTTAATTACACGCCCTATTTTAGTGTCACCAGCAAATTTACTTATGTTGCTGTCTACGCCAATATCTATGTCATTTATGTATTTAATAAATAATAATGGTCCAAGTACTGAGCCTTGGGGTACTCCACTAGTGACGTTACTCCAATCGGATTTAGTGCCGTTAATGCTTACTCGCTGTTTCCTGTCCTGTAACCACGCACTAATTCATTTTAGAATATCTCCTTCAATGCCATGATCCTCCACCTGAATATAACTACCCGAGCACAAACTTAACTACCTCTACTCTCACACCTACCCACCAGAGGTCACCTTTACTACACTTGATTGACCTGACCTCATTAGACCAAAGCTTACCTTGGCTACCTCTTGGCTATAGTAGACCTCCTACAAACTCATCACCTAAAGATTCGCTCACGCTTATTTTATTTGAGGATTCGCCCCCAGCTTATTGCACCTGATGATTCACCCCAGCGTATTGCACCTATGATTAACTACTATCATGCAACCTGGGGAGTTAGGTTAGGCTAGGTTCTCCACAATGCTGGAGGATTACAATCACCATCTTGACCTGCAGGCGAAGGAGGTGGTGGAGGACGTGACTGGCGCCTTCAGGAAGATGTTGACCTCGTCGCTGTGGATGGACAGCGACACCCTAAAGGAGGCGCTGCAGAAGTTAGACAATATGTACCATCTAGTGGCCTTCCCCGAGCTGGTACTGAATGACCAGCTGTTGGAACAGTACCACCTGGGGGTGAGTGGATATAGCACTCATCTTTTATACTAAGGTTCGATCCCTGGACACCTATCTTTTCCCCACCCCTTCTACATTTAGCCCATTTGACGCCTTATCTGACCTGAGTAATGGATATTCTTAGGTACATAAGAACATTAAAATGGAGGAAACTGCAGAGGGCCTATTGGCCCATACTGGGCAGTCCTATTTACACCCAACCCCTATTGCTCATACTTCCATCCAACCTTTGTTTGCAGCTATCCAGCGTATTCGAGTTAATGATGATATTTCGTAACTTGCTCCACTCATCCACTACTCTATTTCCAAACCAATGTTTACCTATCTCGCGCCTAAATCTAAATTTGTCTAATTTAAAATCATTGTTACAAGTTCGCTCCTGGTTGGATAATTTGAGTACCTTTGTATTGTCCCCTTTGATCAGCCTTGACTTCCATTTATACACCTCTATCATATCGCCCCTCACTCTTCGTCTCTCGAGGGAGTGCAAATTAGGATGCTTTAACCTGTCTCTGCACTCAAGGTTCCTACTGCCCTGGATTAGTCTTGTCATTCTCCTTTGAATTCTTTCCAAGGATTCTATATCCATTCTGTAATACGGTGACCAGAACTGAACTGCGTAATCCAAGTAAGGTCTCACAAGCGCAAGATATAGTTTTAGGATAACCTCTCTAGTCTTGTAACTAACACTCCCTTTGTATGAATCCAAGTACTTTATTAGCCTTGTTTCGAGCAAATACACACTGTTTACTTGGCTTAAGATTCCTACTTATCATTACTCCTAAATCTTTCTCGCAGTCGGATTTCTCAATAACATTGTTGTTCATCTGGTATCTGGTTTCCCTGTTTACATCTCCTATACTGATTACTTCACATTTGTCCACATTAGATTTTATTTGCCATTTTTCAGACCATTCGATATTTTTTTTTAAGATCTTCCTGTAGTTTTGCGGAGTCCTCGTCAGATTTAATTACACGCTCTATTTTAGTGTCATCAGCAAATTACATATGTTGCTGTCTCCGCCGATATGTATGTCGTTTATGTTTTAAATAAATAATAATGGTCCAATTAATGAGCCTTCGGGAACTCCACTTGCTCCAATCGGATTTAGTGCCGTTAATGCTCCACTCAAGTGGAGGAAGTCTTACAGAAAGTTGTTAACTACAGCATGAATTTGTTTTTTTATTCGAGAAGCCTAAATTATTCCTATATCAGTTAGAATCAAATGTTAGACGAAAATGTAGCCAAACCTTACATAAAGGCGTGACATGGTATAAGGTTTCAGCTGCCTCCCGTCAGTAAGGTGGACCACTTCGGCAACATGGTGGGTCTGGTGACCTGGTACAGTCGACGATCACTACAGCAGCTGACTGTACTACCATCTAGGGACAGGTGGGTCTCTCTCTCTCTCTCAACCCCAACCAATTATATCACTAACTACCCACAAAGCCTCATTTAACAATCTACCTGATTCGCTAATGACTGAACCATCACTTATGACCTATAACCAACAAAGTATAACTACTCTCACGTATCACTTAATCACCTCATTACATTACTAACAACTACTAACTACTCTGCCTCTCTGTGTTAGGTGGCCGAGAGGACCCCTGGAGACAAACGCTTTCTATGCCCCTTTACAAAACAGTATAGGTGAGTAAACTTAACCTAATCTATCGATACGCAACCTAACCTAACCCAACCCTGAGTTTATCTAACGCTAAGTGTGTTTAAGTGAAGTAAGTGTTAAGTGTTGCTGCTATCGTTCCAGTGATCCCCGTGGCGGTGCTGCAAGAACCCATCTTCCACCCGGAGAAGACCACGTAGGTGCTTCACTGTTCTCGGTGCTTCACTGTTCTCGGCGCTTCACTGTTCTCGGCGCTTTACTGTTCTCGGCGCTTCACTGTTCTCGGCGCTTCACTGTTCTCGGCGCTTTACTGTTCTCGGCGCTTCATTGTTCTTGATGCTTCACTGTTCTCGGCGCTTCACTGTTCTCGGCGCTTTACTGTTCTCGGCGCTTCACTGTTCTTGGCACTTCACTGTTCTTGGCGCTCATTGTTCTTGATGCTTCACTGTTCTTGGCGCGTCACTGTTCTTGGCACTTCACTGTTCTCGGCGCTTCACTGTTTCGGCGCTTTACTGTTCTCGGCGCGTCACTGTTCTTGGCACTTCACTGTTCTTGGCGCTTCATTGTTCTTGATGCTTCACGCTTCACTGTTCTTGGCACTTCACCGTTCTTGGCGCTTCATTGTTCTTGATGCTTCACTGTTCTTGCGCGTCACCGTTCTTGTTCACCGTTCTTGGCGCTTCATTGTCTGATGCTTCACTGTTCTTGGCGCGCGTTCTCACTTGTTCTGGCGCATTTCGGCGCTTCACTGTTCTCGGCGCTTCACCGTTCTCGGCGCTTCACTTCACTGTTCTTGGCACTTCACTGTTCTTGGCGCTTCATTGTTCTTGATGCTTCACTGTTCTCGGCGCTTTACTGTTCTTGGCACTTCACTGTTCTTGGCGCTTCATTGTTCTTGATGCTTCACTGTTCTTGCACTCGTTCTTGGCACTTCACTGTTCTTGGCGCTTCACTGTTCTTGGCACTTCACTGTTCTTGCGCTTTACTGTTCTCGGCGTTCACTGTTCTTTGGCGCTTCACCGTTCTTGGCACTTCACTGTTCTTGCGCCTCATTGTTCTTGATGCTTCACTGTTCTTGGCACTTCACACTTGGCGCTTCATTGTTCTTGATGCTTCACTGTTCTCGGCGCGTCACTGTTCTTGGCACTTCACTGTTCTTGGCGCTTCATTGTTCTTGATGCTTCACTGTTCTCGGCGCTTCACTGTTCTTGGCGCGTCACCGTTCTGGCGCTTCACTGTTCTCGGCGCTTCACTGTTCTCGGCGTTCACTGGCGCTTCACCTTTACTGTTCTCGGCGCTTCACCGTTCTTCGCTTCACTGTTCTCGGCGCTTCTGTTCTTCACTGTTCTGCGCTTCACTGTTCTCCGTTCTCGGCGCTTCACCTCTCTTCACTGTTCTTGCGCTTCACCGTTCTCGGCGCTTCACTGTTCTCGGCGCTTCACTGTTCTTGGCTTCACGTTCTCACTGCTTTTCACTGTTCGGCGCTTCACCGTTCGGCGCTTCACTGTTCCGCTTCACTGTTCTCGGCACTGCTTCACTGTTCTCGCGCTCACCGTTCTTGGCACTTCACTGTTCTCGGCCACTTCCTCGGCGTCACGGCGCTTCACTGTTCTCGGCGCACTTCACCGTTCTGCTTCACTGTTCTCGGCTTCACTGTTCTTTTCACTGTTCTCGGCGCTTCACTGTTCTTGGCGCTTCACCTTCTCGGCGCTTCACTGTTCTCGGCGCTTCATCTCGTGCTTCACTGTTCTCGGCGCCACTGTTCTGGCGCTTCACTGTTCTTGTTTCACTGCGCTTCACTGTTCTCGGCGCTTCACTGTTCTCGGCTTTCATGCTTCACTGTTCTCGCTTCACTTCACTTCACTGTTCTCGGCGCTTCACTGTTCTCGGCCTTCACGTTCTCACTTCACGTTCTGCTCACTGTTCACTGTTCTTAGCGCTTCACTGTTCTCCACTGTTCTCGGCGCTTCTCGGCGCTTCACTGTTCTCGGCGCTTCACTGTTCTCGGCGCTTCACTGTTCTTGGCGCTTCACTGTTCTTGACGCTTCACTGTTCTTGGCGCTTCACTGTTCTTGACGAACCATAACATCTGACCTTACCTCCACCAGGGGCCTTAACTACGGCAGTCTGGGCGCCATCACTGGTCACGAGATAACACATGGCTTCGATATCAATGGTGAGTTCTCTCTCTCACTCTCTCTCTTCATTGTCTCACTTTCATTCATGCTCTCTTTTTCCCTGAGACACCTACCACTTGACAACTGCTATCTCCTACACCTCCTGGCCTCCTACACCACCTGGCCTCCTACTGTACCTTCTAAATTCCTACACCTTATGGCCTCCTACACCTCCTGGCCTCCTACACCACCTGGCATCCTACTGTACCTTCTAAATTCCTACACCTTATGGCCTCCTACACCTCCTGGCCTCCTACACCCTGTGGCCTCCCCACACCCTGTGGCCTCCTACTGTACCTTCTAAATTCCTACACTTTATGGCCTCCCACACCTCCTGGCCTCCCACACCCCTGGCCTCCCTACCTCCCATAATTCTTGTACATTGTAGCACCTACACTGCCTGGCCTCCTACTTCACCTGGCCTCTACACCACCTGGCCTCCCTACCTGCACTTCTCTACCACCTGGCCTCCCCTGCACCTTCTAAACCTACACCACCTGGTCTCCTACACCCTGTGGCCTCCTACTGTACCTTCTAAACTCCTACTTCACCTGGTCTCCTACACCACCTGGCCTCCTACTGCACCTTCTAAACTCCTACACCACCTGGTCTCCTACACCACCTGGCCTCCTACTGCACCTTCTAAACTCCTACACCACCTGGTCTCCTACACCACCTGGCCTCCTACTGTACCTCCCATACTTCTTGTACAATCTAAACACCTACACCACCTGGTCTCCTACACCTCTTGGCCTCCCACAGGACGCACGAGGGGCTGGACAGGGTCACTACAGCGCTGGTGGACCAACTCAACACTACAACAGTACACCAACAAGACCAGCTGCTTCGTCCAACAGTACTCCGGCTATGACGTGTCCAGCTTACTGCCTCCCCAAGACCGTCCTCCCTACCCCATGATGGTGAGACAGAGAGAGAGAGAGAGAGACAGACAGAGAGACCAAGAGAGAAACAAAGAGAGGTGGACTGTTCGATAAAACGACGATAAAGAGGAAAAATGAACAATAACAATAGGAAACCAAATGACTACAAAAACAACAATAATAATAATTGATAATAATAACAATAATATTAAACGTTTTCCTTTACAGATTAACGGACTCAAAACGAAGGGAGAGAATATTGCGGATAATGATGGTAAGTGTATGTGTGTTAAGTGACCTGTGTTAAGTAGTGTATGTGTGCTTATACGATGATGATGTACAGATACACACACCCTCCCACCCCTGCCCCTCCCTAATTGTCACCTTCTCGGCAGGTCTGAGGGCGGCATGGGTGGCGTACAGATCACGTATGGAGAAGGACGGAGAGGAGGTGGTGGAGTTGCCCGGCCTGCAGCACTATACTCAAGATCAACTCTTCTTCATTGGCTTCGGCAAGGTGAGAAAGAGGAAGCCCTCTCCCCTACAAACCACGCCCCCTCCACTAATCACACCCCCATCACTACTAACCACGCCCTCTCCCCTACTAACCACACCCCTCTACTAATCACACCCCCATCACTACTAACCACGCCCCCTCCACTAATCACACACCCTATCACTACTAACCACGCCCTCTCCCCTACTAACCACACCCCTCTACTAATCACACCCCATCACTACTAACCACGCCCCCTCCACTAATCACACCTCATCACTCCTAACCACCTCCACTAATCACACCTCATCACTCCCTAACCACGCCCTCTCCCCTACTAACCACACCCCTCTACTAATCACACCTCACTACTAACCACACCCCTCCACTAATCACACCTCTTCACTACTAACCACCCCCTCCACTAATCACGCCCCTCCACTAATCACACCCCATCACTACAAGCCCCTCCACTAATCACACCATCACTCCTAACCACGCCCTCTCCCCTACCCACTAATCACACCCCATCACTACTACCCCTCCTCACACCTCATCACTACTAACCACACCCCTCCACTAATCACACCCCATCAACCACCTCCACTAATCACACCCCATCTACTAACCACCCCTCCACTAATCACACCTCATCACTACTAACCACGCTCCCTCCACTAATCACACCACATCACTCCTAACCACGCTCCCTCCACTAATCACACCACATCACTCCTAACCACGCCCTCTCCCCTACTAACCACGCCCCTCCACTAATCCACTAATCACACCTCATCACTCCTAACCACGCCCTCCACCCACGCCCTCTCCCCTACTAACCACTAACCTCCACTAGTACACCCCATCCCCTAACCACGCCCTCTCCACTAGCCCCCTCCACTAATCACAGCCCATCACTCCTAACCACGCCCTTTCCACTACTAACCACGCCCCTCCACTAATCACACCCCATCACTACTAACCACGCCCTCTCCCCTACTAACCACGCCCCTCCACTAATCACACCCCATCACTCTACCACGCCCTCTCCCCTACTAACCACGCCCCTCCACTAATCGCACCCCATCACTACTAACCACGCCCCTCCACTAATCACACCCCATCACTCCTAACCACGCCCTCTCCCCTACTAACCACGCCCCTCCACTAATCACACCCCATCACTACTAACCACGCCCTCTCCCCTACTAACCACGCCCCCCTCCACTAATCACACCCCATCACTACTAACCACGCCCTCTCCCCTACTAACCCCTCCACTAATCACACCCCATCACTACTAACCACGCCCTCTCCCCTACTAACCACACCCTTCTACTAATCACACCTCCTCACTACTAACCACGCCCCCTCCACTAATCACACCTCATCACTCCTAACCACGCCCACTCCCCTACTAACCACGCCCCCTGCCGCAGGTATGGTGCTGTCAACACACGCGCTTCGCCCTCGAGTACCTGCTGGCGGTCGACCCTCACTCACCCAACCCTTACCGCATCCTGGGCGCCCTACAAAACTCCCGCGATTTCTCTGAGGCCTTCAACTGTCCCTCCGAGGCCCCTATGAACCCCAGCAAGAAGTGTGTCTTATGGTGACGTGATGATCTGTGATGCCGTGATGATCTGTGATGATGCGGTGATATGTGATGACGTGGTGTTAAGTGTAGAAACATTAAATAGATAATTATTGACAATGTTTTTAACACGACCAAAATCTATTGATATTTGGCAGCGCTAATAAAAGTTTAAAATATACATTTATGAAATTTATTAAGATTCTTCCGAAATTTTTATGTTTGTTGAGGCTACGAAGATCAGCTGGGAGATCACCTTAAGATTAAACACCCTAACACTGTAACTTTTGGAGTTAGGTTAGGTAAAGTAAGGTTAGGTTAGTTGGTGTTAGGTTAATTTTCTTGAGAGCCAAACCCGGGTCGTAACTTCGTCCAAAATATAATGTAAAAACCAATGCTAATTTATTTTGTAAGGTATTGTTAAAATGGAATATAATTAAAACTAGATAATGAAGATATTAACAACGTAAAACAGACCATATTGGCCGCCTGAAGTACTAGTAGTGAGCTAATACGTGGTGAAAATGCAAGAGAATACTGAATTTGTATTGTATAGCTGCTGCTAAAATAAACCCGTTTTCTCTTATCATCTGGCCGCTCCATTCTCCATTAAGACTTGAACTTCTGGAAATTTCCGGCTATTAAGGAGATGGTCTTAACTGAGGCGATAAATATTTATTGTATTACGTCGATTATTTTTTAATGGGTTAAGTCGCCTTTTTATTATTTTTTTCTGAGTTGTCCGTCATAGAATTACAGTAATTACAAAACACCATTTTATTAGCAAAGTACAAGACGTCAAGAAAAACAAATTTCTTCCTTTTTTTTATAAAGAACTACTACATCCTGTTGACATGCCGGCTACTACACTATTATATAACTAAACTATTTATGTAAGTTGACACGAACGTAATTAACAGAGCCTCACCAAAACACTAAAACAAAACCACTGTAAGTCGGGTTACGTTAGGTTAGATATGCTATGTTGGTTTAGTTGGTAAAAACATTGATAGATGACATACTGTTAGTCTCGTGGTCACTATAGGTAAACAAACTGCCCAGTGATTGGAAATTTCACCATTTTTTATGATTTTCTGCAATTGCAATTTTTTCAAAGATTTTATTTTTTCAATAATAAATGTGTTTTAGTAATGCTGTAAAAATGTTTTCGAAAGGGAATACAGTAATTGATCAATTGATTTATGGAAGGTAAAGTCTTAATTTATTACGTCTGTGTTGACAGGTAGAATAGGTGTATAGTACCTACCTACCCCCTCACCACTCTGTGTACCCCCTCCCTCATCTACCACCCCGTGTACTCAGTGAGGTTATTAGACTTTCCACGCCTGGAGGTGAACTCACTTGACTGGGGGTCCCTCGCCGCGCCCCCCACCCAGAGCAGTGAGGGAGGGGGGAGAAGTGAGAAGAAAGAGGGATACCTTGGCGTGGGATTTCTGCTTCATGGTGATCAAAAAGCAAATACGCGCGGAAGCACGCACGCACACACATACACGCTCACACACACACGCACACACACATCCAAAAAAAAATCAACTTAAGGGTGGGCGCAGCACTATGCCTACACACCTCGATTCAAAGCCGGGCGTGGGAGGCGGGGACCGTGGGAGGCAGAGGCGGGGAGATGGGGCGTAGGAGGCCGTGAAGAAGGAGGCGGAAAGACGGGAGGGCGTGGAAGGCCGTGGGAGACGGGGGGCGTGGGGGCCATGGGCGTGAAGGGGCAGGAGACGGGAGGCGTGGGAGACAGGGCATGAGACGGAGACGTGAGACGGGGGCGGGAGCCGTGCAGACAGGGGGGCGTGGGAGGCCCGTGGGCGTGGGAATGAGGGCGTGGGAGACGGGGGCGTGGGAGACGGGGGAAAAATGGGGAGACGGAGATGTGAGACAGGGGCATAGGGGGCCGTGAGAGTTGGGGGCGTGGGGGCCGTGGGAGACGGGGCGTAGAGACGGGTGACGTGGGAGACAAGTGGGGATCCTGGTACAGCATAGGCAGTAAAACATACATACATACACGATTTCACAAACATATGATGAACTTGTATGTACGTGTATGCATATATGTACAATCACGTCTTCATAAGCGTCCCCATATATAAATACAGATGTAGATACATACACATGACCACACACATGGAACTACAGACGCGGTACATGTATACTCACCATCATACGCATATGTATGGAGACACGCATACACGCACAGATACCATTCATTATGTATACAGGTGAGCATCAACACACACACACACACTCACGCACACGCACGCACACACAGGTAGTAGGTAGCTACCAAACAGGGAGGTACTACTGCCTGGGAAGATATTGGAAGCATAATGTATTGTCTAATGGTAGACCCTGCTGCCATATGTGACCAAGTCCCAGGTTGATGATCTGACTTTTTGCCTCATTTACACACAATTGTAGGGTCTCAATTGTTTCCCTGACAACACAACACAAATTACCTACATCTTTTATCACTATTGATCTTTTTTTTCATTTTTGTATTTATTATTATTATTATTATTGTTATCATCATTATTTATATTTTTATATTTTTATTATAAAATTTAATTATGAATTATTATTATTATTGTTATTATTATTATTATTGTTATTATTATTATTATTGTTATTATTATTATTATTGTTATTATTATTATTATTGTTATTATTATTATTATTGTTATTATTATTATTATTGTTATTATTATTATTATTATTATTATTATTATTGTTATTATTATTATTATTGTTATTATTACACTTCCTGATGTGGGTCAGTGACCTGTGCCCGGGTGGGCTAATACCCGTAAAAAAAAAATGCACACACCCCGGACCAAATGTGACCCCAACTTCACAGCTGGACCTAACCTTACCTCCTGAGGCCCTGGTGCTAAAGAGATAGACATTGTCACGGTCTTAAACTCGGTCAATGGCACAGACAGACAGACAAGAGGAGGAGGATGACCACTCCCTACCTCGGCATCATTGACCATTAAAGAAAGTTTTTTCCTTCTCGCCGTCAGTGTACGAACCTTACTAAGTGTGGTGTTAATGTTAGTGTGATAAGGTTCAGTTAGTGATATATAATATGCTATCTTTGGTTAAATAATCTCTCTCTCTTTCACATGTGTAAAAATATTCCCCAGGTAAATGTTTTAATAATTAACTTTAGCTGTTCCCGTTCACATTCTGGTCAATAAATATTTTAATAATAACTTTAGCCGTTGTCGTTCGCAGTGTAGCCAAGCAGTAGCCAATATTGTATTTTGTTTCAACATAATTACCTCACTTAGAAGTCATCATATTTAAAATTATTCTTACATTGGGTTTATAAAATAAGTGAATAAATATTGTATTATTGTATCTTATAAGTTAATGAGATAAATTAAGAGAATATTTATCCATTATTGTGTGTGTTGGCAGAGCTGGTGGAGTGAGTGTTTGAACACACCTTTACTAACTAACGGTCGGTCACTAAGTTCATTTAACTCTTCTTCATTATACCTATTTCAATATATATATTTTATAGAGAGAGAGAGTTTATCGTTTATATCTAGAGAGTTTTTATAGTTTATATTATAGAAATATTTGACGTATTTCTTTACCGTTTGAATGAAAGAGGTAACGTGTAACATTATTTATCATCAAGATGTGAAAATGTATTTAAATGGTTGTTGGTGTTTTGTAGGGTTGTAAATACATCATACCTGTACTGTCTGTATACCTGCTGTTATATGTTTTGTATACTTATGTTATCAATATACTGTACATGGAATTTAGTTTGTACTTTCCATGTGTATTGTATGTCAAAATTTTAATTAAGACTTCCTAGATACGTTTATTGAGTACATGTGCAAAATTAATGTACTCAACCTATTTAGAAAGTCACAGTCCTTGCGTTCAACTTGTACAGAAACTGGTACTAAGTGAACCGTTTAGTAATGATCAAATGTATTGTTTTTATTCTTTCTTTATTCCTTTATCTTGATTTTTGCTATAGTTTTGTTGGTATTTTTTTTAATAAATGATTAAAATTGTGAAGCAGTTATGTGTATACAGTAGTTACGCCTCGCCTGTGAGAAATGTACATTATATGAATCTCATTCGATTAACACCAAATTTAAGTTCGCTGTTGCCAGAAAATCCGAATAAATAAATATTTACAATGTCCCCTCCCACCCTCGACCCCACACGCCCTTCCTCTCTCCCTCACTCCCTTGGGCCCTCCTTGCCATTCCTCTGCCTCCCTTGAACATTACACCCGCCCCCTCTCTCTCTCTCCCTGAGGCACTACACGCCCTTCCTCCCTTCCTCTGTCATTCGAGCACTCCTTACTCTCCCTCCCTCGGTCATACCAGTGAACTGTTTTTTCACACTACACATTCCATCCAAGTCCAAACTGCTGCCACCTCTCACAGCCACCCTGTTCCCGCCACTCTTACCTAACCTAACCGATTCAAACTAGTGATGGCAGGTAGGTGGTGGCAGTGATGATGATGGCATGGCGATAATGACGGAGTTGACGGCGGGGAGGTGTTGGCACTTTCACTACACTTTGTCTCAGGAATAATAGACCTCCCTTTCTCACCTCCATTACGCTGAGGTACTGAATAGTGTACACTGACTAGGTATACTTAAGCATAACAATGTACAATTATCGTATATGAACAAGAAGCAAGTGTGAGGCTGGGAGGTGTTGGTAGAAACTTGTTGGAAAGGTAATAATGGCAGAGTAATGTTGGCAGGGTAATGTTGGCAGGGTAATGGTGACAGGGTAATAATGGCACTGTAATAATGACAGGGTAATGTTGGCAGGGTAATAATGGCACTGTAATAATGACAGGGTAATGGTGGCAGGGTAATGTTGGCAGGATAATGTTGGCAGGATAATGTTGGCAGGGTAATGGTGGTAGGGTAGTGATGGCAGGGTAATGGAGGTAGGGTAATGGTGGTAGGGTAGTGATGGCAGGGTAATGGTGGTAGGGTAATGGTGGTAGGGTAATGATGGCAGGGTAATGGTGGCAGGGTAATGTTGGCAGGATAATGTTGGCAGGATAATGTTGGCAGGGTAATGGTGGTAGGGTAGTGATGGCAGGGTAATAATGACAGGGGTGGTGGGTAATGGCAGGGTAATGACAGGGTAATGTTGGCAGGGTAATGGTACAGGGTAATGGTGGCAGGATAATGTTGGCAGGGTAATGTTGGCAGGGTAATGTTGGCAGGGTAATGGTGGTAGGGTAGTGATGGCAGGGTAATGGTGGTAGGGTAATGGTGGTAGGGTAGTGATGGCAGGGTAATGGTGGTAGGGTAATGGTGGTAGGGTAGTGATGGCAGGGTAATGGTGGTAGGGTAATGGTGGTAGGGTAGTGATGGCAGGATAATGTTGGCAGGGTAATGGTGGTAGGGTAGTGATGGCAGGGTAATGGTGGTAGGGTAATGGTGGTAGGGTAGTGATGGCAGGGTAATGGTGGCAGGGTTACGTTAGGTTATAGCTGATCTTGGGTAAAATAAGCTGGGGTGGCTACTCTTCAGGTGACTCAGCTTGTCTCCATGCTTCCCACACTGTCTGGCTTGTATAATATTCATGTTAGTGTATGAACGTGTGTATAAAGCTAATGATATTTAATATTTATACACAGTGCACGTGTGTGTGTGTGTGCTTAGTAATCTTAATGTTTATTTATTACAAATCGTCAGTCAAGGCTTATGGAATATTCAGCACCTCATTATTGGTAATACATGACCTCTTTATCTGCCTTTTGTCTATCCAGTCGTCTTCAGGTGTGACTGTCACACTAAAGTGTGTTAGTGGTGAGTGCTCTTGACATAACACAACAACTCCCACCCCACACCACAATATCACCAACACAACACACAGGTACAGGTATGTGTGGTCGTAGGCCGAGGCGTTGCACAATAGATAACTCTTCGTCACAACCCTTACTTTCCCTCCCACCTACTGTACCTACCCTCCCCCCTGGCCCCTCCACTACACCACAAGGTCACAAACCAAAGCTTTTCATTCATAACCCTACAACACACACAGTGCAACTATAAAACATACACTACAACCTTCCTGGCGTCCACAATTTTTTATGGGGATTAGCCCACCCGGACACAGGTCACTGACCCACATCAGGGCCTGGGGGGCGAAAATGTAATAATAATGATAATAATAATAATGATAATAATAATAATAATAATAATAATAATAATAACTAATAATAATAATAATAATAACTAATAATAATAATTCATAGTAAATAACATTTATAATAAATGATACAAAATTTAAAATAAAATAATAAAATAGTAATGATAATAAGAATAACAATAATAATAATAAAAAACCATAAATAAAAAAGAAGAGAAAAAAAAGATGAATAGTGAGAAACGCTATATGTATGTTGTGTTGTCAAGTAAGAGAAACAATTGAGAGCCTGCAACTGTATGTAAATGAGGCAGAAAGTCACATCATCAACCTGGGACTTGGTCACATATGGCAGCAGGGTCTACCATAGACAACACATTATGCTGACAATATCTTCTTTACTGTTGTACTTTAGTTGCAACTCACTTTTTTCTTATTGGTTTTATTATTATTATTTTGTCCTATTTTTGTTTATTGTTATTTATTAAATCCGTATTTTTTTATTGTCTTTATTTATTCTGTTTTGTTATTTAGTAATTTCTTTGTATATAATTTATTCATAACGGATCTAAGTCAGGTTGAAAGAAAAGTAATAAACTTACTTTACTTATTACAAAGTGCTCTACACAGGCTTCAATAGGTCAATTGCTGTTCAATTGTCAAGAAGAAAACCCAGAGCGAAAAATACACTTAAAACAAACCATTGTACAGTATTTACAAGGAAACTCTTGCACGAACATTACAAGACAAAAAATGGTAACTTATTTTAAATTACTATTAAACATCCTAAACATTATACTTAACAATAATAACTTACCTGTTGAGTTGAATACAGGTCAGTCACATAAGTAAAGAAAATAAATACCCAGACAACATCAAGAGAATTGGGGAAGGAGTTCCGACACACAGCAGTTAGTGCCAGTAGTAAAACTGATTCTCACTATCTGTCCTCAGCCGACTTTTTCCAACCCGACCGATGGATGGTAGGAATTTAAGGTCCTCTGGTGTTCATTACCGGAACCACATTAACTAGTCTAATGGTTGTTATGCAGAAACTAGTTAATTAGAATAAATCAACTAAATAAATGTACTTTACATATCATATTACTACAAAATTGTCCAAATAATTTAATTAGATATAATACATATAATACAACTGGATTTATAATGATCTCTAATGAAATCACCAATGCCTGATTCACTGGAACTCCCCGTAATCCCGAGCCATCTCTACTAAGGATTCATGATAAGAACTAAAACTTAGGATAACTTAGTTGTTATTAATACCATCCACTGATTATGCGTTCTTGTAATTATTATTATTGTTGTTGTTATCACAAGCTGAAAGGCACAAACAAACACTTTAAGTGATAATATTTATTTAAAACTACATCTTAGGTTAAGGTATGGGGCTCACAATCACCTCTTCTTGCTGGTCTTGTGACTACTTCTGTTGATCTTCTTCTTCTTACAGATCATATCATAGAGGCACTCCAGCCCTTCCTCCAGCCCGTCCCCTATGATGGCACACGACGGCTGCACGTGGAACAACTGTGCTGGTCCTAACTCTCGTAAACCAAGACTCTTCTCTACCTGTAGGTGAGGTACAGGTGTGTTGATATCATGGACAATATCTGTGTTAGGGGGCAGGTGTGGTGAGGTACAGGTGAGGGGGAAGAGGTGTGCCAACAGCGGACAATACACACCTACCTAGTACTACTTTCTCCTACCCTCACCCCCTCCCCCCACCTACCCCTCCATCCATACCCTCTCCCCTTCCTTGCCTACCCTCACATTCTCCCTCACCCCCTATCCCTCCCCTCCTTACCGTCCCTACCCTCACCTCCCCTTCCTTACCATCTCCATCCATAACCTGTCTCCCTCCCTCCCTCCCCCCCTACTCTTACTCCCTCTCTCCATACATTCACCTCCTCCTTCCTTACCCTTCCCCCTCTCTCCATACATTCACCTCCTCCTTCCTTACCCTTCCCCATTCACTACTCTCACCCCCTTTCTACCCTCACCCTCCCTCCTTACCCTCGCCCCTTGCCTCCCTTCACCCTACCCTACACCCACTCTCCCTCACCCATACACAAATTTTCGCTACTATGTTAAGCAGAAGACACAATGTACATAACAAAAGCCTGGTTACTGAGGCATCTTGGCGAAGCTGTTGTTAATTACGTAAACAAAACAAATCACAGCGACACTAAGCGGTGCCTGGCATACAAATACTGTTACAGGAGATTACGTTAGGCTGAATTAATAAGTATTGGATTATTGGACACGTTAAACTAAACCGGATATTAGTTGGGGTGTTAAGAATTATCTAACCTAACCTAACCAAAGTTAACTATACCTATCCCCCACACCCCTACCTATCCTTAACGTACTTACCTGGGCAGCGTCCTTGGCTCCCGGAAGATCCTGCTTGTTGGCTAGGACGAGGATAGGTACGTGGTGGTTCTCTGGCGTCCGTACCGTCCGTAGGAGCTCCATCTTGGCCTCGTCCATACGCTCGGTGTCCGTAGAATCGACCACGAACACGATGCCGTCTGTACAACGTGTGTAAGATCGCCAGAGCGGACGAAGCTTCTCCTGACCACCGACGTCCCATACCAGAAAACTTGTGCCTGTGGAGAGGGAGGGAGGGGGTTACGTACTTGCCTTCTAAACCGGGGGGAGGGGGAGGAGGTTAGGTACCTATCCTGTATTGGGGGGAGGAGGGGGGAGAGTTACACACGTCATTCCTGTATAAACATTCGCTTCAACAAAATATATCATTGTTTAACACGAGTATAGTTACCAATACCACTCTGTCTTTCACCATCATCACAACTACTACTGCCACCACCACTAATCCCCCCCCTACCACCATTACAACCACTACTATCCCTACCACCACTACTATTACTACCCATCACTACTAGTGCTACCCCTACCACCACCACCCACCCTACCATCACCAGCACTACCAGCATAACACAATTGACTAGTACCATTATACCCTCGTCTTACTCCTACCACCACTACCACCATTACCACCATCACACACACACAACCACCACCAGAATTAAGTGTTAAATTATAAAGTGAACGATAAGCTACTTTACACTAACAGGATGTGTACAGGACTGTACTTAACTGTTGTGATGTACAGTACAGTAGTGACAGGTGTACATTAGTCTTGTCTTGGGGAGTTTGTAGTACACTACATCCTGTACATAAGGTCCCACTTTAAATAATTTAGTACATTACATTATGTTATATAAATTAGTACATTATTAGTGTTATGGCTTTTATGCAGAAGTACATCTTATATATTTTAGTACATCGTTACATTTTATACAATAGTATTTTATTAAGTAACTCTAGTACTGTACATCACAGACATTACTGTACTACATGACTGACATACAGTACAGTGATGTATTACAATAGCACAATACCCTGTACAGTGACGGAGTGTACACCATCACATTACATACATACATACATACATACACCGTCACACTACATACATACATACATACATACGTACATAAGTTTACTAGAACAGTTAACATGTACTTCTAAGTTAACGGACAGACAGTCAACTAAACTAACTGGTAACGTTAAAAACTGATTAACTTACTTGTTCCTTTAATTCATACATGGCGGACAAGATGGCGTCAGAATTACACCGTGACTCTAAGATGAAAAAAAGTTAATCTCGGAGAATCTGGTTAATGTGACGCTCAGGATCATAACGGGACGCTGTTACCTGCCTTGGCTGCGTCACGCGTCACATCCCCGTACTCCCCCACCCACCCCTCCCCGCTGGACGTAACGCAAAACTCAGACCACCACCAGGCGCGTGTACTTGGGGGTCATGTTACGGATGGTGGTGGTGAGGAGGGGGGGGTAGGAGGAGGAGGGTAGTGGTGGTGAGGAGGAGGGGGTAGTGGTGGTGAGGAGGGTAGTGGTGGTGAGGAGGAGGGGGGTAGTGGTGGTGAGGAGAAGGGGGTGGTGGTGGTGAGGAGGAGTGGTAGTGGGGGGGGGAATGAGGGAGGGTGAGTGTTTGGGGAGAGAGAGAGAGAGAGAGAGAGAGAGAGAGAGAGAGAGAGAGAGAGAACAGCACACTCAATCACAATTATCTTTTCTATGGTAAATCACCACAAACTAACCTAACCGAACCTATCCGACCTATCCCCACGTGATTCAGGGTGTGACACAGTTAAGAATGTGGCAGCAGCAATAACAGTTTTATAAGGTGGAATAAAAAGCACAATTGTTACATTACATCATCACACGTCTATCTGTATCCTTCTATTCATCCTCATTGGCGTCTGTCTGTGTAGTTTAATACGTTACTCAGAAATACACCCTAACACACCTCTTCTCTCCTCCCTTTAATAAGACTCACTCAATAGTACAAATATGAACCTAACCTAACCTAACTAACCCAACTAAACTAACTTAACTAAACTAACCTAACTAAACTAACCTAACCTAACTAACCCAACTAAACTAACTTAACTAAACTAACCTAACTAACCTAACTAAACTAACCTAACCTAACTAAACTAACCTAACTAAACTAACCTAACCTAACCAAAATAAACTAACCTAATGTAACCTCTTTCTCACTATTGTGCCCAAACTTCACTGTCCTTGCTTGAGACATGACCCAGACTCACACGTAAACAAACACACGGACCAACAGCTGAATGTCCTCAGGTCACACGCTTCCCGCGGCACCAGGAGCCGGAATGAGTGAAAGTGAGGGGTTGGTGTTGGAGGAGGGGGTGAGGGGGAGAAAGGTTTTGGAGGGTTGGGGGCGGAAAGGGGGTTAGGGGAAGGAGGTTAGTTGGGAGGGTTGAGGAGGGGAGGAGGTTAGGGTGGGGGAAGGTGTACAATTAAAAACTTGACTGTAGAATTGCGTATCGATCTTATTGTTTTCGTTCTTGTTTATTATCGACTAAATATTAACTGTTGATACGAGAGTTTTGTTCTGACAAGATGATTGGTGCTTGGATATTTTTTTTATCAATAATGACGTAGATAAAAGTACTGTACATATTTCACATAGCATCAGTAATGGTCAAAGAATACAACATGATGACATTACGTCAATCTATAACAAGGATTACTGTGTATTAATATGACCTAACCTAACCTAACCTTACTTAACCTTAACCAACCTACCCTAACCTAACCAACCAACCTAAACCAAACTTAAACCTTCCCTATTCTAACCTAACCTAACCTAAATTACTAGTCCATATTATGCAGGTCTCTCTCGTGTGTGTGTGGGAGGCACACCCGAGCCATCACAGTGATCACGATACACTATACTGTACACTTCCGGGTGTATTGTGTTACTGCCACCCACACCACACCTCTGCCACCCACACTACACCTCTGCCACCCACAACCACACCTCTGCCACCCACACTACACCTCTGCCACCCACACTACACCTCTGCCACCCACACTACACCTCTGCCACCCACAACCACACCTCTGCCCCACACCTCTACCCAACCCCCCCACCCACCCACACACCCCACCCACACCCCCAACACACCCCACCCACCCACCTCTGCCACCCACACCACCCCCACCCACACACACCCCCCCCCCACCCCACACCCCCACCAAACACACCTCTGCCACCCACAACCACACCTCTGCCACCTATACCACAAAAATAACCACATCTCTGCCACCCATAACCACACCCTCTGCTACCCACACCACCTAACCTAATCTCAACCTTATCTAACCTAAACCTAACCTAACCTGACCTAAGAATAAGGTTGTTGGGCGTTAAGTGTTTCCCAGGCGGTGATGGTAAAAAAAAATAATTACGTCCTATTCTTCCCTGGGTTAACAGTACTTTAACTACCGTCATCTCGTTAGTAGAACTTCAATTACCCTCAACACCTCGTTAACAGCACATTAACTACCTCAACACCTCGTTAACAGCACATTAACTACCTTAACACCTCGTTAACAGCACATTAACTACCTCAACACCTCGTTAACAGCACATTAACTACCTTAACACCTCGTTAACAGCACATTAACTATCTCAACACCTCGTTAACAGCACATTAACTATCTCAACAACCTCGTTAACAGCACATTAACCAACCTCAACACCTCGTTAACAGCACATTAACTACCTCAACACCTCGTTAACAGCACATTAACTACCTCCACCTCGTTAACAGCACATTAACTATCTCAACACCTCGTTAACAGCACATTAACTATCTCAACACCTCGTTAACAGCATTAACTATCTCAACACCTCGTTAACAGCACATTAACTACCTCAACACCTCAAGCATTAACTTTCTCAACACCTCGTTAACAGCACATTAACTACCTCAACACCTCGTTAACAGCACATTAACTATCTCAACACCTCGTTAACAGCACATTAACTATCTCAACACCTCGTTAACAGCACATTAACTACCTCAACACCTCGTTAGCAGCACATTAACTACCTCAACACCTCGTTAGCACTCAAGTGACGAGAGTTCAGGAGTTATGACGTCACACTAGGTCATGTCACTCTACTAAGCTGTGACGTCACACACCATCTACGTCATCACACATAAACATAACGTCACACACCACCTACGTCATCACACATAAACATAACGTCACACACCACCTACGTCATCACACATAAACATAACGTCACACACCACCTACGTCATCACAAATCCATAACGTCACACACCACCTACGCCATCACAAATCCATAACGTCACACACCACCTACGCCATCACAAATCCATAACGTCACACACCACCTATGTCATCACAAATCCATAACGTCACACACCACCTACGCCATCACACATCCATAACGTCACACACCACCTACGCCATCAATCCATAACGTCACACACCACCTACGTCATCACAATAAACATAACGTCACACACCACCTACGTCATCACACATAAACATAACGTCACACACCACCTACGTCATCATTAATCCATAACGTCACACACCACCTACGCCATCACAAACTACAACGTCACACACCACCTACGCCATCACAAATCCATAACGTCACACACCACCTATGTCATCACAAATCCATAACGTCACACACCACCCACGCCATCACACATCCATAACGTCACACACCACCTACGCCATCACAAATCCATAACGTCACACACCACCTACGCCATCACAAATCCATAACGTCACACACCACCTACGCCATCACAAATCCATAACGTCACACACCACCTACGCCATCACAAATCCATAACGTCACACACCACCTACGCCATCATACAAAACCAAGAAGTCAGTACAGAAACATGTCGTCAGCCTTCAAGCACATTTTTTTTTATTTATGCAAAAAGTTACTAGTCAGAAGCCGTCAAGTTCAAGCGTATACAGGAGGTCGACTGGTCTGAGGTGGTCAGGCAGTGAGTCACACTTCATATTGATACCTGTATTTAACGGACTGTATGGAGAGGAAATTCCGTTACATCGAGGGTCTAGACACCTTGATTTAGCGATTTGTGTGGTTAGGTTAGCATTAGCTTAGGTTAGCTTATATTAGATTAGGTTAAGTTAGCGTTGGTGTGATTAGGTTAATATTAAGGTA